CCTGTGTCCCTGCTTGGACAGAAAAGCAGCTTTTGTCCAGCCTGAGAGGCTGTCACAAGTGTCACTGGCCGGGATTCGGAGCCTCTTTTTCCAAATGCCCGCTGCATCACAGCCATCACATGGGACTTGATGAATTTTTCATGCCAGAATTAATCAATTTCAGTGGGCAGTTTTCCTCACTGGCGTGTGTCCTGCCTCCCTGGGGCACTTCATCTGTCACAGACAAACAGGATGGGCAGTGCTAGTGGGGTGGCTCTTCTCAGAAACATCAAAATGCATGTGCACGGTTCAGGTCAGGAATTTTTGGGTCTCCTGGGACATGTGTGGGGCTTTCCAGAGGGGAGTGCCTTCTCCAGGCATATAGGCAACCTCTTCTTTTTGTGGTGTGGTGGTTTAACCCCAGCTGTAAAGCAAGGCACATGCAACTGCTGGCTCATTCCACCACCAGCCCCACCCCTCCCAGTGGTTGGTAGAATCAGGGGGGAAAAAGTTAAACTCATGGATGGAGATACAAACAATAATTGAAACAAAGCAAAATATAATAATAGTAGTAGTAGTAGTAGTAGTAGTACTAATAGTGACTCAGAGAGAGTAATAATAATGAGACAGAGATACAGCCTGAGGAAGTGGTACCCACTACAGTGGATCACCACCCACTGACCAAAGCCTAGCCCATCTCCAAGGAGGGAGGGATTGGCACCTCCTGGCCAATTGTCTCCAGTTTATGTAGTGGGCAGGATGCTCTGAGGTGTGGAATATATCTTTGGCCACTTTGGGTCAGGTGTCCTGGCCATGCTCCCTTCCAGTCATTGGCACAGCCTGGGAAGCTGAGCAGTCCTTGACTTGGGGTACGCACTACTGAGCAACAGCTACAGCAACAGTGTGTTATCAACATTATTCCCATATTAAATTCAAAACACAGCACTGTACCAGCTACTAGGAATAAAATGAACTGTATTCTGGTCTGAACCAGGATAGATAGGTTTTTTTGGAGCTAATGATTTAAATGTAGCATGCATTATTTTTATCAGGCACAGACATAGCTTGAGAAATGGAATGTAATGGAAATATACTATTTATGAAAAGAATGACATATAGTACGGCTTAATAAAAGATATTATTTACCCTATGAATACTGAAACAAGAAAAACACTTATTTGTGAGTAAGTTTATTGTAGTACTCATAATCCAAGCAGCACAACAGGAAAGGAAAGATAAATGAGGATTTAGTTCTCATGTTATGTATATTACATTATATTCCCACCCACATTTTATAAACCAGAAAAGTATATTAAAAAATAGACCAGTTATGCTTCTGATACATGATAACCATGAATATGAAATTGTAGTCAAAATAGTTCCAATCAAACTATATTATTTGTTTATTTATTATTTTCTTTCTAGCACTACTAATATCATAAAAGTTTTCAGCTTGGAACGTGAATGAAAACTTCACAGTATCTTTTTCAGAGGCTGGAAACCTCACACTTGGAAAGATTTCTGCTTTGGAATGTCTGTAATATATTGAAGCCTTAATCCCACTCTAATTGGTACTTTACTAATTAGCCTGTGACTAGAATTTTAATTAGATGCATAATAGATGTTCTTACCTGCAGTGGAGGAGGTATCTCCTGGGAAGAAAAGTGAAGGGAAGAAGATAGTGAAAGGAACCTATAGAAGACAAATATAATCTAATCCCTACTATAAGAAATATATACATTAATTAATATTTTTCAAAATTATGTCTCTGGAAATGTATTCTGTTTTTCAAAGCACATTTGTTTTGTGACTTGCTTTTCTCCTGTGAAGAACAAATTGTACTTTGGTTTTTTTCTGTGACATGACTTGTGCTGTGAGCAAACTGAGGAATACTGGAGCACAACTGTAGTTAATTAGCTCAGGGCCAGCCCCAGGGACTGAGGTGGACACATGATGGGCTGGAAGCAGGAGTCTGCAATCTGAGCTGAAGAGTTGAGCTGTGTGCCTGTGAGCTGGGTCACAGGGAACAAGGCTGAAAAGGAGATGCCCAGCACCCTGACAATGGCATTAGTTGAGCCTGGGTTGTAGCATATTCTAGAGTTAAAATGCAAGTGAAAAGCTTGGAAGATGCAGCTGATCCTGCCAATGGAGACTCAGAAGTACCAATACTCTGTAGATGAGCATCATCTATCACTTTTTTCTACCAGGAAAAGACAGGAAAGAAGGATAGAATGTGTCTGTCTGAAAATACTGCCACCACTAATGTTCTCATTAGCTTAATGGCATATACCCTTATAGAGAATTTTAGGATTGTCATTTGGGTGAAGACTGTTTTAAAATCTGCAAAATACCTAGTGCAAGAGTCCTAAAAACATAAATCTGAAGTTCCCTCCTTCTCTGAGGAAACCTGAGTTGTGTGTTTAGAAATATATAGTTATTTGTCAGGCCTAGTAATCCCCATAAGCCCCAGCAGTGAAAAGGGTGATTCAATTTCAGAAGATAATGGGACATTCTGAAAAATGATGATCAGGTCCAGGGAATGTTCTTATATGGGGAGATATAAACAGTAAAAGTAAAGGGAGGATGAATTGCAGAAAACAGAAAAGCAGTTAAAGAATTATTATTTTTCCCTCCACTAAAGGGACACTTCTACAACAGGCTTTCTGGTGGAAGTGGAAAACATACTGTACAATTTGCGTGATTTGAAAAATACTTTTTGTTACTAAATTTTGACTGGGAAAATTCTTCCACATGGTGAATAAGGTCACAGGTGAGCCACATTCCATGCTCTGCAAGATATTTAAAAGCAATAGCTAAGGAATATTTTTCTCTAGATGTCAGTATGAGGCAAGTAAGAACAAAGTTGCACCCCTTATGTTTTTGACAAAATTTGTACAATCACTCTGAGACCAGTAATTACTTCACAAATGTTAGAGAACATTGGTGGAATGAAAACAGCAAATTATTAACTGGAGAAACATCTGTAAGATTTAAGTGTCAGTTGTGTCAAGAAGTGGAAGATGATGTCATCCTTGTGCCAAAATCAAATTATCCCAATCTCAGTCAAATAACACAGGTAATATGTGGTCTGAAAACAAGTTGCACATTGTGGAATAATGCTGAATATAGGAGAAGTCAGAGAAAATTATGATGGCCTATAACCAACTGTACAAGCAATAAGTATTAATCAAAAATTGTGTTTGCTCTGAAGTATTCACTCAACTGCCCTGCCTAGTAAAAGATATTATCTTTTCAAAGGGCTTTATTAACTCACCTGTCCTATGAGATCTGGTCATTTTCCATGGCAAATTTGTCTCCTACTATGAGTTTCATTAGAAACAGAAAGGAGTGGGGAGCTCAAGCCATGGTTAGTGGAATTATATCGCTTTTAATTTTTTATGGGAAGAGATTTAAGGCTGATTCATGTAAAAAAGACATTACTTCTTGCTGTCTAATTAAGATGCTAGTTGGGCCTGGCATATCTTGAGGTATCTCATTTTGCAGGGAGGTTTGAGTCTTCCCTGACACCTCCAAGACCCCAGCTGCCTCAGATCAAAGGCTGAGTGACCACTCCTGTGAAGCACTATCCTGAGAGCTGCTATCTCTGCAGAAAGGGAGGATACATTAGCTCAGACTTCACGCCATGCTACACACATCCCTGTCACTCCTGGGCAAATGGGAGCCTACTTGAATACGGGGTGAACTTGAATATCCCTGCAGAGGCTGCATCCATACCCTTTGTCCCCTTCCTAGTGGGACTGCTGCTCACATCACAAAATATCCATCATAGATAGCACTTTAGCAGAGTCTTTATCAGTACCCTGAAAATTGAATAGGCTGCTTGGAAAAGGCAATTATAATGTACCACCACTTCATTTGAACTGTGCAGTTTGAAAGGGGAAAAAAAACACAACAAAACACCTCTTATGTGATTGCCTTCCCGTCTTTGTGAAATAAAAGGAAACTTGTTTTCTGTCTTGAGTTCTTTGGTGATGGTAGACTTCAGCATCCAGTACTTTTATCCTTCCTGTTGTATACATATGGAGGTTTGCTGTGGGATACAGTGCAGTATTTTTGATAGCAGGCTTGTATAGAACATCTTCTTTATAACCTGGGTAGTGTGATGTTATTTTGCACAGTCTAGTTGACATAAGGATGGAGATTAAAATGCAGGTCAGAAGTTCTAACCAGACTTGGCAGGCAGGAAAGGATATTGGTTCAACAGGGTAATTACCCATAGGAAGTGGTGATGCTGACACTAGTTTTAATTTTTTGAGTGCTGCTAAAGATGTTTATCTTCACTCTGAAAGCTTTGGTCTTTTATAGTTTGAATGCTGGCTGTGAGAGAAGCTGTCACTTTGCTCTATCCAGCAGTAGTGCTCTTCAAAATAGTCGAAAGATTTTTTTCATCTGAAAACAGAAGGAAAATATATTCTTACTTCTGAGCCTTTTTGTGAAACTCATTTAACCAGAGATACACTGCCCTGAATTTCAATGAATATTGGGAGAGTGCTTGCTTGGGTAAATAACATGTATTATGTTATGGAGTAGAGATTTAATTGCTGTTGTTTGTTGTTTTTTTTTTTTTTTTGTCTCCTCCACATAGAATTGGCTAGAACATAGTTTTAGAGACTATAAAATAATATCCGAATCTTTTATGATTTCTTCTCTCTTACATAATTTAAACTGAGGATTCCTTATTTAAGAAAACCTAAAATGAATTTCAGAGCTTGTGTTATGTAAGCCAGTTAGTTACATCAAGCAGAAAAACTGAACACTGCCTTTGGGAGAGAGGGGCGGGAGGGGGAACAAATGCTTGAAAGCAGAGTCCAGAGAATGGAGGACAGTTTGGGGACCAGGTTCTCCACAAAGCACGCCACAGAGAGGCTGGCAAAAGGCACCGGGTACACGTGGAGCACCAGCCAACCTCCAAGGTTCTCCAGGAGCAATTTTGGATGCTTATGTACGTATGTTCAGTCTGGGAATAATGCTTAATGTTTGCACATGATTTTGTCTTCCAGAATGATTGAAGATTGTGGGAAAAGAGGAAATACCATGGCAGAAAGAAGGCAGCTGTTTGCAGAAATGCGTAAGTACTTCCTGGAAATGTTTTGCTGTGATAGACCAAGCCAGTTGCTATGCAATGTCAGTAAAATTTATGCAAGCTTTCCACCTCAAATCTCCCTTGCACAAATGAATATCATGAGACCAAAACTGCACGAAAATGGGCTGATTTGACCTTAGCAGGAAAGAGAGGTTTTCTACATCAGATTTTTTAATTGAATTATTTATCCGTAGTTTTCTTAAGACAAAGATGATGAAGTACAAAGGTTGCAATGAAGAGGGATAAAGGTCTCCAAAAGCTACATCTTTTTTTGGAGGTATCTGTAGTGGGTTGACCCCAGGCAGCTGCCAAACTCCCACATACTTGCTTAATCCCTCACCAGCCCCCAGCAGAATGGGAGAGAATATAGGGAGAGCAAAAGCAAGCAAACTCATTGCTTGAGATAAAGACTTGATTAGGTGACAGAAAGAGAGGGAGAAAATTACAACAGAAACCAAGAGCCAGTAATGCAAAGGTGGCTATTCCCCATTTCCCAAAAGCAGACATGCCCAGCCACTCATGGAACAGTGTCTGCATTGGAATACAAAACTCCCCATCCCCTTCTTTTCCTACCCCAGTTTTATTGCTGAGCATGACATTATATGGTGTGGACTAACCTTTTGGCCAAGTGGGGCATCTGTCCTTGCTGTGTCTCCTCCCAGCCTCTTGCCCATCCCCAGACAGCCCTGGGAGGGGACAGAGTAGGAAACAGAAAAGCCTGAGTGCTGTGCAAGCACTCTTCAGCAACAGCTGAAACAGCGGTGTGTTATCAACACATTTTAGCCACAGATCTGAAACACAGCACCGTGCAGGCTGCTCTAGAGAAAGTTAACTGCATCTCAGCCAGACACAGTACAGGGACTCATGTACTTCATACCTCACTTCAGTGTAATTTTTTGTAGTTCCTAATGAAATCTTGTGTTCCCTGCACGATAGTGTGTCAGGGATGTACCATACCAACAATGTTCCTGCACTTTTGACAGTCATCTCTAATTTCTCTTACAATCCACTCTTTCTCCAGGAAGTTCTGCTGTCAAGTTTGAGACTGTCACTCTGTTACTAGATTTACCTGAGTTTTGTGTGTAATTACTAAGCCTCCTGTTGTCTGTCCCCTGGCTCGTAGTAAACTAGGACAGAGCATCTCCCTGATCTTTGGTGGCAGACTGAGGTTACTTAGGGCATTACTGGGACTGGAATTGTTGCGCATAATGAAAGGCCAGGTGTGTGCTGGTGAATTCAGTGTGTGTGAGCCCTACATCTGAGCTCTCCAAATTAAAGACTTCCCACTGAGATGGCCTACCAAGAACTGGTTTGGCCCATTCCACAGTGTCCACTGGCTCTGTTGTGCCCTGTAATTGTTTTAGTATCATACCGTGCTTCCTGTGTAACGCATGAATATTTCTCACTGATCTTTTCTCTCTGGTGCCCAGTGACAGGACCTGAGGAAATGGAATGAAGCTGTGTCATGGGAGGTCTGTGTTGGGTATTAGAAAGAGATTCTTCACCCAGAGGGTGTTTGGGCACTGGAACAGGCTCCCCAGAGAAATGGTCACAGCAGCAAGCCTGACAGAGTTCAAAAAGCATTTGGACAATATTTCAGGCCCATGGGGTGATTTTTGGGAGTATCCTGTGCAGAGCCAAGAGTTGGACTCAATGATTTTTGTGGGTCCCTTCCAACTCAGGATATTCTTTCATTCAGTTGCCTCTTGTGTACAGCACCTTGGAACCTTGGAGGGAGGTGTTGCATGTTGGCCAGAATCAAAAAATGTATTTGTCCATTAGCAGAACATACTGTAGTTTTAATTATAATTACAGAGGAAGCTCAAGTCAGCGACATAGGTGCCAATAATTTATCAGCTCAAGTCAGTGACATAGTAACCATTAATTTAAAATAGTTTTAAATACTCCTAAAATATTTAGGACTTTGCTGTGAAAATTTGTGGTTTGTTTCCACAGTTTTGAAGGCTGTTTTGATGTTGGATTGTTAAGCAGGAGTTAAGGAGGTATTGGGAAGATCAGCAGCTGGAGGCAGAGGAAGGACTATTTTCCTGTATTACACACCAGTAGTTACAGTCTACTATTTTCTTCTTTCACATTTTAGTATTTTGGCATACTTACTTCAGTCTGGTTTATCTCACGTGTGCTTCCCTTTTCTGTTTGGCTGCCTCTGTTCCTCCACCTACTGCCTGTGTACACAGAGAACTGGATGCTCCAATAGGTAAAATGAGGGGAAAATATTAGGCCTTTGTGGAAAAACTAAATGTATTTTAGCCGTGTTCATAAAACACTGAACTTTGCATTCTGAGAGCCCCTCAGACACCTCTGTGTGTGGAGGGTGCACATCACTGAAACCAGACTTCATCCTGGGATTGCATTCAGCTGTGTGCAAGCCCACACTGCAATATGTGTAACAAAAACCATGTGCTCCTGATGCCATACATATTGTGGGCCATGTGAAGCTTCTTAACATTCTGATAGGCATAAGCCTGTGTCAATAGGTAAACTCCACAACCTGCCAATATCAGAGGAAGAAAATTCATAATATAAAGGCTTTTGCCAGTGTTTTCAGTTCTTGGGACCTACATCTGCAAGTCTGTGATTGAAACCTCACAATAATTGTACAAAGTGGGTCATGCTCCAGACTACACAAGGTAGAAAAGAGGGGGGAAAAAAACAGAAAAAAAGAAGTCCAACTTTCCAAGCCTTTTTAAGTGGGAAGTTTGTCCTGAACAAGGAATAGAAGGATTTGATTCAGACTTTAAATTCGGACCACTGTGATTTCCTCGTATTTTGAGAGATTCAGTTCAGCCCTTTTTGTTTCCTTTCCTTCAAAAGAGGCATCCTTCTAGTTCCAAATTACAAACATTTGTGAATTGATATCATTATCATTATCACCTTCTGTAGAGTCCCGTGATTAAAGCTTGTGTTATAACTCAAAATGCTCTGTTGGACATGAAGCCACTAGGTCTTAGTCTTACCTTAGTCTGACATGCCCAGGTATATACACACTGATGAAGAGTTCAAAATGTGCATCACTGTTGGCACATATTATCCATCCAGAAAACAGCAGCCAAAGTTGCAGCGTGTCCCTTTGTTATTTTTGCAAACTGCCATCAGTGTTACTTGACGTGAGCATATTCAAAGGAGACAGAGTGACGCACTGCCAGGAGGCTGAAGAAAGGAGAGGCCACTGACAGTCCTGTAGAGAAGTTACAAATTTGCTGTCTCATTTGCTGTGCTCAGTCCTGGACATCTTTCCATTTGTTTAGCAGAACTCTCCATCACGTAAGTGATGGCACTTTTCTACAGAAGTCATTTGACAAACAGATCTCTGACTGTGGCAAAATGTAAATCATTACAGAATTAAATCATCTATTCCAGGGTCGTCTCAGCAACACCTACTCCCCAAATAATATCAAAATAATACATCCACTATGTGTGCAAATAGTAAAAAAGAAAAAAAAAACCAGCAGTGTTGCCTACAAATTTGATTTAGAATTATTACGGCAACCTCAGAAGCTCAATGAGCCAGAGTGTCACTTTGCTTTAACTTTTAAACCCTTGTTAAAAGGCTGGAGTTTTATAAAGGATCACCCGAAGCTTATTGATAGCTTTCACCAAAGTGAAGAGGGAAAAAGTTACATTCATTTTACTTTTTTTTCCTGTTAAAAAGGAAAAGCTTAGTGTTGCAAGTTTTATCTTCCCTTTCACCTACAAAGAATTTTCCTAAAGCTATCAATGAGATACCAATGGAGAAGGAAAAAGCCTGTATAATTTTAACAATAGAGGGGACGATGGAAAAACTCACAAAAATACTTCCCATACCTGATGTTAAGCAGTCAAAGGTAATTTCTCCTAGGAGCAGGTGGTGTAACTGGCAAAAGGGAGTAGCTGGGAGCCTTGGGAAGACATTGTGGGAGAATTTGGCCAGGAAAAGAGCAGAATTTGAGGAGAATAGTAAGTATCATTCTCATTTTCATGTCATAGGCCAGAGCACATTTGAAAAATTGGGTCGGAAGGATGACCATGTTTTAAAAAGTGTGGGTGAATGATGCTGCCACAGGCAGAATGGAAGCTTCAGGCAAGATTTATCAGGGAAGGAAGCCCTCCAATTGAGTTACAAGGTGCAGAGAGGATCCCCCTCACTCTGGAAACTCTTTCTCAGACAGTAGTCTGAGTAGAGCTCAATCCAGTCCTAGCCCCCGACTTGGTCAAGAGTTTATTTCTTAAGCATTATATAGATGTAATTGATACTTTATATGACTTCATCATGCAGGATTAAGGATAGCAAACCAAATATATTCATAGGAATAAAATCTTTATTTAAATTGGTGATAATGATGACAATTAAGCTAAAATATTTTAATCAAAATTGTTTACCAGATAGTATAGATATTTATAACGAATTATATTGGTCACTATTTATTAAATAAATCATTTCAAAAATAGCTTATTATTATCAAGTACAGATTGGTGTTACTCACCCATATCAACACTGGGGGCAAATCTCTTCCACTTGGCCTGAAGGAATAGCCTTGAGGGGTGTCCCCAGTCAAGGGAAGAATTGCCACAAATGTATCCAGAAGGAAAGTGTTGAAGTCCCTGCCATTAAAAAATGGAACTGAGCTTTTATAGTATAAAGTGATTGACTATCAGTCAGATGTTTCGTGGCTCCCTTGCCAGCTCAGCAGCCTCAAATAAGTTATCAGTACTATCACTTGTTGCTTTCTTTATCAGGAACTTTGTGTGCCACATCCTCAGCAGTGCTGATCTGTGTCAAGCAAGACTGTTTTTCATGTCCCCAGAAGGTTTAGCTTTGGGGTTGTGGAGTCAGGCTGGTCTCAGCATTCCCAAACATCTGAAGCAGCATGATCCACCTTCTCCATCCATCACTGATAACTTTTGCAAATGGGAGAAAATTTGAGCTGTTTTACCCCCACTTAGAGTATCCTGCTACAGATGGCAACGTGGCCATATGTTCTGCAGTTCAGCTGAGAAATCTCAAAGCATTTAGGAAGCCTGTGTAAAAGCAGGGCTGTATCCCACTCCTCTTGCATCCTGACTGTACCTTGTTTGGATGAGTTTATTGGACACTGTGCCAGGTTCTGCCCCCACACTGGCCCCTGAGTCCTGTCCTTGTTTGTGAGGGAGCTGCCACTCAGTTTGTTCCCATCTCCATCTTTGGGAATGTTACTGGATCTTTATGTTGCAGCAGCCAGGACCAAGCTTTGTGTGGAGCACAGAGCTGACCCTCAGAGGTCTCTGTTGCAGAGAACATACATCCACAAAGTGGAGAAAGGCTGCACAGCCCTTGTCATTGCCCCCTTCTGCAGATTGCCATCAATCTTTATGTTACAGCACAGTATGTTTTCTGGGTTTGCTGGCAATACCTTGCCCTGATGTGGCATGTCAGCTAAAGATATTTGTTATGGGCTTTTTTTGCTGAATATTAAAATTCAGCTGAGGTTTTCCCTGCTGCTGGAGCCTGGCCAGTGTGTCTTTTAGCCTGCAGCTTGACCAGATTGTTCTTCAAAGTGACAGACACAGTGGGCTGACTATTCCTTGCCTTCCTTTCTAAAATTCTTTTAACACTGTAGCTCCTGACATTCCCCTTGTTACTCCTCACTCGTCTCTGGTTTCTCTGCAAAGGAAAGAGCCTTGAAAATTGTTAAACCGAGGCAGCTCGTGTGTCCTCTTTGTTCCTTGGCTTCCCTGCTAGCAAAGAGACACACAGGTCACATTCCACCCAAATGTCACCGTTCTTCTCTTCCACTAGGGGCTCAGGATCTGGATCGCATCCGCTTGTCCACCTACCGAACAGCATGCAAGCTTCGGTTCGTTCAGAAGAAATGCAACTGTAAGTATGCCAGCACTTCCCTCACCTACATTGTTACAAGCTCTCCTCTGCACTCTGCAGTCTGTCCTTTGCACCGCTGACAATCCAGGGCTGTGGCATTGCAAAGGATGCTCATCAGAGTGCCTGGGCAGGCTTCAAATATTAACCTGTTTATGTAAGGAACTTGCCTCAAACATGCCAGTGATTCAGTCATAGAAAGGTGGGGCAGGATGCAGGCCACAGCTTTAATTAATAAGTATGTAAACTGCATTCTCCAATGTTCTTGTGAAATAGCATTTGTGAGTTTCAGCAGGGCTCTGAAAATTAAATGCTTTTATAGCAGCTCTGTGAGAAAAAATGCTGCTTTTAGTCCTCTTCTATTTAGGGTGCAGCAAAGTAAGTGCAATGTTGGTGAGACCCCTCTATTTCCAGAAGGCCAGCTAAATGCAGCTCTTCTGAGAGACTGAACCTGCTTGTAATCTCTGCATGTCTGTCTTACTCCTTCTAGGTTTTATTGGGAAATTTCTCACTTGATTAGTGACCTTTTTTAACTTCTCTTCTGAGATTCAGTCTTTTTCCCTTTACAGCTGCATTTTCTATTAGCACAGTCACGTGCTGTGAGCTTTAAAGGTGAAATACATATAAAATCTGTAATGGAGTGTATCCTTTCTTCTCCATCCTAAATAGTATGCAAATACTTAGAAAGGCAGATTTGGGTATATGTGCTTTACTGGGCCTTTCCACACCAACTTAAAAAAATCCCCTAACCAAGGGCACTCTTGTCAGCAGTAACAGTAGGGAGAGGACCAACACAGAGAAAACAAGTATTTTAGTCCTCACATACAGACTAGAATGACAACCTGGCTATGCTTGTGTTGCACACAGTGGTAAGTATGTTAAAAAATGCTCACTGTAGACAGAGATTTACCACCCTGTTAAGTTCCTAGTTTTGGGGTTACATCGGTCTGTGTTACAGAAATGTTTATCTTATGCTGTCCAAACATACTGGAGAGGCCAACTTGTAACGAAAAATACTTTGGAGAGTATTTACTGTGTTATTAGCCATGGAGCTGATCGTTTAATCACTTTTGTAGCACACTTCTCATATTTTTAATATGTCCTTAGCTGAAGTATGAATTGAAGGTTTGGTATCACATTATAAGCAATCTGCCAGACACAAAACCCAGGGGGGGTTAGTACCTGCCCAGCAGCTGGCTTCTCCCATTCAGGAGCAAATGTGTTGAAAGACGCTATTATGTTCCATTCAGTTGGGTTTTTTTAAATCTTATGTTTAGGAGGATGACATTTTCACTTCATTTTCATGGTAACAGAATACAGTAGTCTGAGGTGACAAAAGTATCCAATTAAATGGATGGTGGTAGCAAAGTATGTGTGCAACTGCATGCAAAGCAAATTAAAAAAACCCCAAGGGCTAACAATAGCCTCATTGCTGGGAATGTCTGTCTGGCTGGAAATATACTGGTCGTTAATTTTAATTTTGTGCCTCTTATTTATGAGCTGTGATCTGCTTTTGTGGAACTGTTGGTTCTCCTCATAGAGAATTAGTGCAGATGCCCTGCAGTTTGCCAGCTTGTACCAAGTAGCTTGTGGATGGGACTCAGCTTCTGGTCTCCATTGATAACCTAGGAGGAGTAATTTGCTGATCTTGTTTGAAGATTTATACTGTATCACTCTCTCCTTAAGGAAAAAAAAGTAAAAGGAGAAACTTATAATGTCATGCCAAGTATTAGGTTCAGTGCAACTTAAGAAATAGTGCCTGCTGCTCTGGAACAGGCTGGATTGTGTGTGTCTTTTCACCATCAAGTACAGTTTCCTTCTTGTTGTTTTGAGTAGACTGCTGCTCTCCCAGATAAGTTTCTCTTATCAATGGGAAAAGAAGTCATTCATTCACCTGGCAGGTGTTCAAGCAATGGCTGTCCAAGAAAGAGCTGCTAAACATAGAGCCACTAACTGAGCACTGCCCTTGAAATGGTTAATATCAGACCTCTGGCTCATGTCAGCTACTGTTTTGGGGTTTTTTTTCTCCCTACAGATACTGTCATTATGCACCACCCAGCAGTAATGAGACAAAAAAGAAAAAGGGGTCATGGGGAAAAAAACCCTTTCTGCTGCATCTGTGCTGCTGCATTTAGGGTAGACTATAACAAGAAAAAAGCTCAAAGACAGTTCTGCTCCACTCCCAGTGCATAGCACCTCCTGTCACTCAAGCCATCCTTGTCTTCTTTCAGCTGTGCCCTCCTGCCCTGCCCTGGCACACTGGCCCAGACTTACTCTAGAAAAATGGCTCGGAAAGACTGCATTTGAGGGGTTCTTTTAAAGAGCTAATTTAATAAATGGCTGAGAGCTGCTCTTGGCTACAGGCTGAAGGTGTGTGAGGATGGAAGCAGAGAGCTGCTTTGACTGCCAGAAGTGTTTATTCCAAGGAAAGGAGAGCAGAGGCTTTATTAGCACCATCTTTTTTACCCGGAGGTGCCCATTAGCATAGGCAGTCATGGGATATCATTTAACAGGCAGCTACACTTATCACACACAGAGCACTGTTTGTTTCTGCTGCCTTTAATGCAGACACAGACACAGGTTCATCTCCTGGTCTCCCTTTGAGAATTCTCTCAGAAAAAAAAAAAAAAGTTTTTTGCTGAAGCCTTCAGCACCAGGCTGGGTTTTACTGGCTAAGTAGGCAGTGTGCAATGGGCAAAAATCATATTCTGAGAGCCATTCTTTCTTGCAGAGTTTCTCCTGAAACTAGGTAAATTATCTGGGTAAAAATGAGAGAGAACATGACTATTTATCACCTTTTACCAGAATATCACTACGTATGTTGCACCTTGAGTACTACCACTGTTGATCAAATAATTTTGCTTTGCAAAATTATTTCATTTTCATAAGAAGAAGATTCCTTTGCAGATATTTAGCCAACAGTCTTCAAAATTGCAACTGTATGTCTTTCTGACAATTCTATACAACATCGGTTAAATACTCTGTTTGTGGAAGGTACTTCTTTTATAAAAATGTCTCTGAGCATTTTAAAGTGACAGTTCAAAAACAATCATCAAAGTGTGAAAAAATCATTATCGGTCATTTCAATTATTTGTCAAACAGGATGGAATTTAATCCAGCCCAGCCTTATTCTTGAGAAAAGCAAAACATTCTTCTTAAGGACTCATAAAAAAAGGTAGATAAATTTGAAAAAATCTCTGATGTTATCTTTCAAAGAAAAATTCCTGCAAATTTAAGCATTCCTCTTTACCTAAGTTAACCCTGCAAATAAATAATAAAAACATTTACAAATTATTGTTACCACACCTCTGCATCTGGTAAGTGCCCAAATGTGGGATACAATGTGTTACAAAAATCCCAAAAGCAGGAGACATGCAAAATTCTGAATGCAGAAATCCTAAAAGCTGGGAAAGCTTGTTAATTCACCATGAATATAAACTAATTTTGTGCTTTTTATTTCTGCTGACAATTTCTAAAATTGGAAATAATGAAAAGAGAAACTCTGTAGGTAATGTAGGTACTTTTGAGGATTTGGTGGGAATAGAAAGAGATAATTGCAGACTACTGGCTGATTGCTTTGCAGAATTCCTGTAGCAATAGACCTGTTGCAATAGCAATAGTCTTCCCTTAGTTATAAATACCAGCACAAGACATAGATGCCTTTTTTGGGAAAAAAAAAAAAAAATCAAATAAATACTAAATTCTGGAGAAGATATTGAGATTTGGGCATGAATATTCCAAATGAATGTGAAAACTTGTGGACAGATGACCTTGGAGAACACATTGCTGGTGATTATGTCATCTTTAAATCCCAGAATGTAAAGCCAGGAGTGTATGAGCTGACTGTGGCCATTTGGACTGTGGCCACTGGTGGATGGCTTTGGATATAGTCTTGGAAATAGCAGCATCCTAATAATTTGAGGTTAAATTTTATTATTTGGGGTAATAAAAGCAACTAGGAAGCAGGTGCAGATACCTGATGAAACATGCTGCATGTTTATTCCAGTCTGTACTGTACAAAATACACAAAATGGGAATAGCTGACTTTATCATATAGATTTTTTTAAATGTGCTTCAAAGGTGGTCCTAGGTAGTGCACACTGCAAGAGTCAAGGAGGGAGATGGAAGAACTACAGGTGAGCACTGTGAGGTCTGAAACAGTCACAGAACTTGAAAACCCTATGAGCCAATGTTGCTCTCACCAAGTCAAACAGGAGAGTATTGTCCTTTACTTCACTGCAGGTGCATCGGAGCAAGTTTTGGAGCTCCTGAGTACATTCTCAGCAAACACAACTCCTGCTCGGCACCCCTTACTGCCAGGAAAATGCTGTCTTGGCAAAGTTGATTTGCTGCTATTTATCCATGGCATCCAGGCACAGAAGCATCTTAGGCTTTCCTGAAACAAGGATGAAAGACCAATGAAAGCAGTTAGACCTGTCTCTTGACATCCACCAGTATCCAGAACCACCAAACCCCACAATTTATAATTTTTCCAGGGATCATTGGGCCTTTGATTTATTTTAATACTTATTTCTCAGTGAGTTTATTAACATGCTGAGATGAAATACCACATTCACATGCAAATTCCCTCTGGGCTATTGTGACAACCAAGAGTAGGACATAACAACAAATCATAATAAAAAACCATTATATCATTAAATATCACTCACTAATACAAAACTATATGGCTGGAAAACCTCTCCTGTCTATCCTAACTATCCTAAATGTGTTGTGAACTATCCTAAATGTGTTGTGAGATCATTCTGTGATTGTGACAGCAAAAGCAGATTTTGCTGATTTCTCTAGATCAGAATAAACCATTGACAGTTGAAATTGTGAATCAAAAGTTGTGCTGGTGATGGTAACATGTGGCTTAATTGAAGCAGACAAAAAGGGAGCTTGTTTTTCTGGCAGTTGAATCTCAACACTTTAGGGTGTTGGTGTCTTTGTTTCTCCCTTTAATATTGTTCAGTGTGAATGATTTTTGTTGTTGTTGTTTAATT